ATCATCTCATTATAGAACAACAGGAGGGCCTAGAATTTTCAGGGAAGAGCATTGTCAGAGCTTAGGATCTGCGAGCCGGGCCCAAGGCGATCATCTCCGGGAGAGATGCGAGAGAAGGAGGAAGACAGAAGCTCTGGGTTCGCACACTATCCTCGATCACCCCTTGGATTATCATCTAGACTCATTTATTAATTATTCAAAAGAATTGAATCACTTGGACTTCAGGAAGCTCACGTAGTCTTAGAATTCCCTATGGGAACCTGTAGGTTTGATAAACGCACTTGACTTTAACCTCTAATCTTCCTCAGCCTATCTCGAGAAGTTTCATAGAGTCATTGCACTAGGTTCCCTACCCCGGCTCATGAGAACAGGATGGTTTCTTGATGTCGTGTTAGGCTGGAGCTGCGCCTCTTGGGACAGTAGGGGGAGAACTTGAGTACGGACTGAATAAACACACTAGGTGCGAACCTGATTATTAGAATAACCAAAGTCAGAAAAGAAATTTGGGTGTTTACGTCTCCAGTCTCAAAAGAGGGACTTAATGCCGATTGAAGAACGACACCGATCTCTGAGAGATTACCTCGTAGAGCCAAAGAGGTTTGCGCTAAGCGGTCGAGGCTAGCCACGCGCCCACCAAAATCAGCTGAGAATTCTCCTGATGAGCTTGGAAGAAAAAGATGGTATCTGTAAGCGTCTGGCGATGGAGGTTGTCTATCCGGAAACATCGACCACGATGGAGAATTGTGGTTTCGACCCCCAAAGACAAACCGCTCCACCTAGAACACCTGGTAGCTTAATCCCCGTCCTGATCCTTTTAGGGCGTTAAGAGAAAGGAGCGATCGAGCTACAAAAAACCGAATGGTTTTCCATTCAACAAGACCCATTCGATGTAGGTGTATTTCGCCCTCAGAGCCTTATTTCCACTCAAAATGGGCATAACATTATCAATATTGTCATATTCTTGCTTTCTTACATAACTCGGCCACGTCATGAATGCACCTAGAATGTTAAGTAGCCGTATGACAGTAAGGTTGGGAGTACACTGATCCGACATGGCGTTGCTGAAGCCTTCACGAGTAACTTCCCAGGTCTGGCCAGTAGACAAACAAGCGCCGGCCTGTACAAGCCAGAAAAACTTCTGGAGCGAGGCTTCATCCCATGGGCCGGTTAGAAGGTCATCTGGTATTTCGGTGAATCTGTGGACCTCGATCCGAATATCAGGATTACTCTCTGACTTATAATACTTTGACGCCTCAGAGTAAGTGCTCAGGCATTCGATATTTCTGAAGGCATTGTAATCACGGTAGAATGAAAATCTGGCTTCTTCCATGTCACTCATTCCGACGGCAGTATCAGAACCAGTATAAGGGTTGGGTTCAATAGGGTCGCCCCATAACGCAGGATATTGAAATGATCGAGTTCGCGCGTGGCGTCGGACCCAGATGTCTCGACAATCAAGAATCATATCAATCGTCGCCCATGAACAGGCTAACAGATCAGACTGGAGAATGTTAATTGATGGCATCAGGGGTCAGCAACGTAGGGAAACCAACTTGAAAGCTGGGGTTTCCGCCGCATTGATCTACATCTTCCTCCCGTTCTTGATAACGCCGACTGCCCTGAGCTACACGTCCGAACCACAAGTTCCATGTTGGTTCAAACGCAGTGATAAAGGTCTCACGCAGCGTAGAGCGGCCGGAAAGTAGGCGCCCAAGGCGAGGCCCAGCACGCGGAAGGTTGACATTCTCACTCAGCCAGAAAATACGCTCGAGAATTTCAAGAGGCATGGACTTCTCGATCTCGGAGGCTTTAGGACGACGGTCCTTGGCTTGCTTCTTCTGGCTCCGATCCGTTTTGGGGCGCTTTATTGGGGGAGCGACAACAGGTTGTTCTCCCTTGGCACGTCGTTTGCCGCGCACCCTGATTGGTGTAAGTTCCATGTGTTGAAATCAGGCGATGGTATTCATGTAGATGAAAAGTTAATTTTATGCAATCGAAACTGAGTTGCGAGTTGTCTCAGAACATATGATGAATTAAATTCTTGATTTTCGAAGCCTTTTCAGGCCTCGAAGCTTGGATATCGGGTTGGATCTGTAAGTCATGGTCCAGATCGGTATACTCACATGGGTCAATTCTTTGAAGCCCCACCATCCCGCGCCGCGGGTACCACCCCACGCTGCAAGCTACAATGTACTTCACGGTAGTCCCGCTGACAACTGTCAGGCGCGCTTATCAGCGTGTTCAGCTGTTTGTCCAGCTGCCGGATTGTCCTCATGATAGGCAAGTACTTAGGTAACTACCGCATATCCAGGCTTTTTTTTTTTAACCTCTCGGCGCCCGCGCTATCAACCTGGTGCTCGGGTTGATGACGATATCTATTTCTACGTACCTATTTAGAGATGCTGCCGTCACTGGAGAGGCCGTGGACATAGCCTTGCCCACCACATCGTCATAGCACAGCGGTACATATTATATTCATTTGTCCCATTCGGATGGCGTCTCTCCGACTGCCGGTGCCCTCGGTCGGGCTGCTGCGTTTTCTTCGCCAGCAAACGCAGAGTTTCACTTTCTTCAACCCGAATCACGATCTCTCGTCCCTCTCCGTCGCGCCAACTTCCCGCAGATCCCAATGCGCCGCCCGTTGCCCGCCAGCCCCTTTGCAGGCCGGTCTGATAGACTTCCAATCGCTCATTCCCGCGCGAAGCCCTCGAACCGTCATGGTCAAGCGCTCGCCTTATCCGAATGTGGCCTTGCGCCGCCAACACAAACCCTCAGATCCCCAGCCCACACCATGCCGGCCGGCATGGCAAGAGTGGCTTTGGGGCTTCGGCACGCGCAGGCCCGGCCGACCTCTAGAACCCGACGACCTGCCCGAAGTCGATCGCGACGGCGGCAATAATTCCATGTTCAACACCCCCCGCCAGCTCAGCAAGAAGGCCGCCTCCGAGCCCAGACTTCGCTGTACCGAAGTCGACGAGAATGGGAACGTCATACTGGTGGACAGCGAGTTCAAGAAGACCGAGCTGATAGCGAGGGTATTCGCAAATCCAGCACCGCGCTCGCTTGCCAGACAGCCTAGCTAACGCCGCGTAGTTTGGTCTTTTACCCCGTGATCTACGCAAGATTGATTCGTCCAATCTACCGCACATACTCGTCCGTCCTACGTCGATACTGCTTAACCTGTTACATCTCAAGGTCCTCATTAAGCATAATCGGGTACTCTTGTTCGACGTGTACGGCACAAAGGCGTCCTATCCGCAGTCTGCTTTCATGTACGATCTACAAGGGAAACTCCAGCAAAAAGCGCCGGCCACAAACGGCGGTCTTCCTTACGAATTTCGTGCTCTCGAAGCTGTTCTACAGTCCGTAACGCAGGAGTTAGAGGCCGACTTCGAGGCGGTGCGAGACCCCATTATCCGCATTCTAGGCGAGTTAGAGGACGATATCGATCGGCATAAGCTGCGTGTGCTCCTCATTCTTTCGAAGCGAGTTAGCACTTTCGAGCAGAAGGCGAAACTTGTCCGTGATGCTATTGACGAATTGCTTGAAGCCGACGATGACTTAGTAGCTATGTACCTAACCGAGAAAACTCACGACATTCAGCGACAACTTGATGATCACACTGAAGTGGAGATGTTGTTGGAATCCTATTACAAACTGTGCGATGAAATCGTCCAGGAGGCGCAGAACTTGGTGTCCTCTATCCGCAACACCGAGGAAATGTGAGAGGCTCGTTAACTATTTCGATGGAAACTTCGCTGATTCTTGCCTCTTAGCATTCGCGCCATTCTGGATGCCAATCGCAACTCTCTCATGCTGCTCGACCTTAAGTTCAGCGTCGGGACTTTGGGCTTGGCCATGGGTACATTTATCGCTGGTCTGTACGGCGCCAACCTTGAGAACTTTATCGAGGAAACAAACTGGGGATTCGGTGCGGTCACCGCCGTCTCCATTATAATGTCTCTCATAGTCTGCAAATACGGTCTCTCAAAATTGCGCCACCTGCAGCGCATCAAGATGCAGGGCGAAACACCAAAAGGCCGGGACAGAGGTTACCACTGGTTCCACGACGAGGGCCATGTGGGATTATTAGATCCTCGTAACCGCGAGAAGTTGCGGCGCCTACAGATGAGTAAGGCCGACGACAAGAAAGCTCCTAAGAAGAGCTGGTGGTGAGAGGCCCCTGGCTTGGTCTCCCCCAGTATAATATTATGTATAGATATGTTTGGAAAGGGGGGCCCGGCGTTCCACGGATCTCATAGATAGATGTGACATGTCGGAATTGGCGTTTGGATGGCTGAGGACCCTTGTAGATTATTATTGTAGAGAAGGCCGCGTGCGCCTTGGCGAGTCATATTCTCACCTCTAAGCGTTTAATGGGAGGACGAGATCAAGTCATAGTGTATATACCCATTATAGAGCTGGATATCCCATTCACGATGTATTACAATTATCCCGGTTTTCTGTCTCTTATTTAGTGTCGCATCTTAGAAGCTAATGGTGATCGCATCGTATAGATGTTGTCGATAAGTTATGATGTAATAGCAAATTATCAAAAAGACAGGAAGAGTCGAGAGTAATCTTCAAAGCCGACTTTCAGCGCTGTGACCGGGTCGAGAACAAGCATATGCGGCTTTGTTGGCGGCCCGTATGAGTGTGCAACACGGGTCAAGCCGTGTGCAGACTTCCCTTGTTTCATTCCGTTTGGCTTGTATAGCCATCGTCTCTTATGAAATCTCGATGTGATTATTATACTTTGATATTGATAGTAGACAGGCTTGTTCCAGCCCACAGAGTGCTGAAATCAGATTTCAAGCCGCTTCGTAAAGCCGTAGTATATTTTTCGTCGAGTTTCTCCTGTCTACTTAGTGCCTGACATTTTGCCCCTATCACAACATATAAAAACAACTGCATTCAGGATAGGTACTTGACCAGAATCTTTCAAGTCTTCCTATCAGAATAATAGAGCAATTCAGTCGAAGTCATAAAGCAAAAAGAGTTCCCAAAGCCAGGAATCGAACCCGGATTTCCCTGCCCCGAAGGCACAGCCACGCATATAGGGGACCGTGTGTCAACCCGGACGTGCTGCCATTGCACCACTTTGGGTTGCTGTACGTGTGAGACCCAGCCGAATCATATATCTACTGGTGGGAAAGTTACTTCTCTGGGTCCTCGAAAGTATAGTATGATTACTAAGTAGGAACGTTGGCTTTGGCGAGGTGAAGAAATGCTATGTGACACGTAAGTCGAAACTAAATAAGGTCAGAGATAGCACATCAGTCAACTGTTCTCGGGAGATGTGTAATTTATTCGTGGCACGTTTCTTGAACGTGAAATAACTGGAAATCCATTGCCGGAGCTCGACCGCTGAACATATCCTCGATAGCTTGCTTACAAGAACTATGTCATCCTCCTTTTGTGTCACAGCCGTAACTATCATAGAAGTTTCCCGTTTCCCGTACCCAGGCATCCTAGTTCCAGATGATTATACACTAAGTGATCACCCATTATTTACTTCACGCGCACAAGGAGTTGTGGGAGACGGGCAGTAGTCAGCTTTTTTCCTCTGATTAACCAATTCGTGGGGCACCCCAAGGCGGCAGGCGGTCTTGGGGACCGCCAGAAGTAGCCTCGGCACTTCCAGGATTAGACTGTGATGCATTTTCGTTGCGTTGTTCAGATCCTCCAGTTTCTTGACCAGGGTGCCCGAATAGTTCCGTTTAATAATGGCCCGGGGAACGACCTCGCACTATCAACTTTTCGGATTTTCGAGAAGCAATTTTCAAGTCATGCCCGCCTACGTCAGCATAAAGCTCCACGATTAGATGAAAGTATTCCTGGCTCGCTCGACGTTTTGCCGTTGCCCGGTTGAATTGGAGTCTTTCGAACGTATGCTCCGTTATATGCGGCCTCTGGCCATTATCGCTATCCATCCGACTGGGATCCCTGGGCACCGAAGGCCCTGCGACCAATTCTGGCAGAATCCGAGGTTTTGCAAGCGGCTTAGGGTCGAGCTTTATTTTACCTGGATTGGATGTCGGTCCCTTGTCTCTTTTGGGCATATGTTGTATCAGTCCGATAGATTGACCCTCACTATCAGATATCACGGCTGAAATGGATATCGAAAACCCAACAACCTGATATACTGTAGATTCTCCGTTGGGCATATATGTTATAGGTAGACCGTAGCCAGGAGGCGTTAAGTTATATGAACAGACGCAGGAGAAATAGTTGCGACGATAACACGTCCACTCTTCTTCAGAACGAAAGAAGCCTTTGTCAAGGGCCGCTTGAATACTGATTTCAATAGGGGTCCTTGAGTCTGATGTTCCCTGAGCGTCATGAAATAACTGACCGCTTACCTCCACTGGCAGGAACCCGGGAGTTTGGTCTCTTAGGGTTGGGGTTTTAGCAGGTAGGAGAAGACTGGCCATCAACGGTCGTTCAGTAGACGCTCTTGGGACCATCATTGCTTTTGGCTGGGGTAGCCCTTCTAGAAGGGTTATAATTTTCTCGAGTGCAACTCGAGCAGGGCTGACCAAACACCATCCAGTCCTTGGGCTGCCAGCTACTACAAAACCAACGAGCCGTCCTGACGCCCCATTGAAGACCCAGCTGCCGCAGTCACCAGCCTGTATGGGGACTTTGAAATGAATGTTGTAGAGCAGTTGAAAGGTTTTTGTGCCCGGTAATCGCATGTAGACCGGACTTTTAGATCGCCTGCCGTAGATCTCAGCATAATGGTTAGTTTTGATGACGACTGAAGTATCAGTCATCTCGTATTTATAATCCTCGGCAAGCTTTAGAAGCTCTTCACAGGACTGGACGTGGTCGGCTTTGTCCATTGTGATGCCTTTTTTGATGCCCGCTGCGATGCGCATGATGACGAAGTCCAGGTCACGTTCAATCCCAATGATTGACCCAATTTGTTTGCATGGTTCCGCATCCGTATCTCTCATCGATTCAGCGTCTTCCGCCACCAGTGGGCTGACCGCCATTTGGCTACAGTTTGTCCTTGGAATATCATCATCAAATGAACTCGATGAGTCTTGTTTATCAACCAGATCATCTTCGTTTTCTGAGTGCTCAAAAGGGGACTGACTACTCGCGCTCGCGACGGTAATGGTATCACTACCGTCCTCTCCATCATCGTCCCAATCATCCATGCCAGTCATTTCGCAATCGTCAGAGTCGCTCGAGGAAACGGAAGAATGACCTGACGTATGACGTATTGGCTCAGGCATGGTCGTTTGATGAAGAGCATGGGCCACTGTGAAACAGTAGAGTTCGTGATTGTAAGTAAACAGCCCACCGCATGTCCCCGAGCCTTTGTGCTGGCCGGTTGGTGTGTGGAACCCAATTTTGGTTGGCTGTGTCCAGGAGAGAGGTTGGGTTGCACAAGGTGTCAGACGTTGGCTAGCGATCGAAGTAGAGTCAGAGTCAGATACAGGGTCGCGAATGCCATCTCCAAGTTGCTGCAGATCTTCGAACTCAGCCGCTACCGAGCAGTGTCCGAGTTCAAAACCTGGGTGCTCGGCCATGAATTTTTGCACCCTGATCAGTTTGAACGCGGCTTTACGACGCTGCTTGTCGTCTGATACCATGATATAAGGCTTTGTTTTATCGGGAGACTTGCCGACCATGAACAAAGTATACCCAATAAATGAATTCGACTCTGGTAGGCATTGTTCTAGACAACTCTTGATCTTGTCTGCGATTTCTGTGAAAAACGCCTCTCTAGCCGGCCCATGGGCGTCCCAGCAGGGATATTTCTGAGCAAGGAGTCCACGGTAGGGTCCGGTCGAAGATGCCGCGTACGGCCAGAGATCCGTGTTTGTTCTCGTAAATATCTTCATCCCTTTATTGTGTTGAGTGCTGCTATAATCTGCAGCTGTGTTCTGGATTAACCTGAAAATATCTCCATAGCTAGACAACATTTAACACATTGAGAGACTAAGGGTGGCCATTGATTGACATTTGATTTCAGTCTACGAGCTTCGCGGTGCAATGATTTGCCCGAATCTGCCTAGCATTCTGCTGCGCCATGGATTGCGACCTTAGGATTACGGTCAGGCTTTTTATTAGAATGTAACCTACCTCAGTGAATTTCTTTCACATAGCCTATATTCTTATTAAATTCGACCAGGGCATGAATGGAACTAAGTACTTATTTATGTCAAATACTAGTAAGGTTAACCTTGAATTAACCTCAAGAATGGTAATGCAAGTATGTGTCCCATCCCCTGCCCTAGGTTCTGGCTAAATGTCAATACTCCTAGATTGGAGGGTCGTATGCTGACTTACATAAATAATATGTTCTGTAACGCAATATACTCCTTTGTTGCATGTTCCGTCTTTCGGTTAGTAACGCTGATGGTTAAGCGTAATTATCTAGTCATCACTGAAAACCCCTTCATAAGCATGAATGATGGACAAGATTACTGAGTTTTTTCCAAACTTGAAGCTTTGTTCTTCAACTTGGCTAAGTTGTGCATGAAGATGTTGAAGAGTTGGTATGGAAGTTTCTAGGGCTGGAGGTTTTGGGATCAGAACTCCTATCCTAATTGCGAACTAAGGGGTGAGGCTTTCACGTGATCCTTGCATCTTGAAACCTAGTTGTTGTATTTAGAACCGGGCATTATACTTCTCTGAGCTGTTAAAGAAAGAAAGAAAGAGCGAAAGAGAAAATATACATAATTTAGGCTAAAGTCATATTCTACATACCTAATTTCGGGACTCCATTTGTTACAGCTGTTAGACCTTGAAGCAAAAATTGGGACAAACCGTTTTAATTCTACAAGTTAAATAATAGAAAACCCATTATACAACGTACAACATAGCAGGTTACGTCCAGGAACCTCTTCACAAATAGACATAGATACTACTAGCAAACCGTTTTGGATCAACTTTAAGCTTCATAAGCAAACGCTAATCTGAATTGTATGAGTTGATGATGAAGCTAAGAGAGCTGGAGGTATAGCATAGCTGAAATCGGTGACAGATGTAGGTTCTGAAGCCCTGCTTCTTCTCTAACCATGTAACCTCATTAATCTTCATCAGAAGACTAAACATTAAATCATAGCCGGAATGTTCATTCTCTGGATGGTCCAAACTTTATTATCGCTACTCGCCAGACCTGAGTATGTAGCGCCTCCAGAAGTGGCGATGGTATTGCCAAAGGTAGCATCTGCCCCCGCTAAAGTGATGACAGTGTTAGAGTACGTTTGAGCTGCAATGGTGCCCGTACAGCCATCGTTGCATTCGGTGCCGGTGCCATATCCCGTCTTTTTAGTTGTTAGTTTCTCTGTGCCAAACAAGAATAGATGTGATAACTGATGCCTACCATGTAAGGACCGCTATCATACGAAAATGTGCTGAGTTGACGTCCAGTAGCTACATCCTTCGCTGTCTGCTTCCAGGTTGTTCCGTCACTCTGCAGTTCATACAGAATCTCTACAGACATGGAGCCAGGGACCGGGGAGGCAGGCCCATCCAGTTGACCGAAAGAGCCAAAGAGCGAACATCGAATGCACCACTCGCCAGTCGCGGCGCCACACCAAGAGTTGTCGGGCCAGGACTCGAGGGTCGTTTGCACCAGGTGCCCAGTCCCATTCGACATTCCAGGCCATAAGAAAAGTACTCCGCTCTGCGTGGATGGTGCAGTACCTGGGAGGATTGTAGTTACGGCCTTTGTGATTCGTGATCTGGTCGGACCCAGAGAGACAGCGCCTCCCCAAGTGTCTCGGCGATCTAGGGTTTTGGTTGGTGCAACTGGAGGCGAGCCGTAGAGGCTGAGACCTATAACCGCCGACGGCAGTAGGGCGAAGAATACACTGGCCTTCATGATGAGATATGGGTGTAGGGAGCTAATATTTGGAAAGATCAAGTTTGCGGTAACAAAGGAAACAGTAACATCATGATGTTCGATTTTATACTATGTATCCAACTTAAGTGCTGCAACTAAGGGCACCTAGGCAGCCTTGCCTTTTTGAGATCTAAGAACAATATTCCCGAAGATCACAAGATTCCGCGAATAACACCCGGGCTTGGCATCGACCCCGGACTTTGAAAGTCCAAAATGGGAACAGACAAGACGGAGACTGGCA